AGACCCCAGTCTACCCAGGATGGGCCTGGAACTCAACAAGATGGATGAAATTGGATGAAATTGGAAGTCAAACACTGGAACTTTTTGAAACAAAAATAACAGAAGTGGAAAAGTCTATAGATAAAATGATCTTTCAAGTAAAGAAAGAAATGATGCTTAAAATCAAAGATAATACAGAAGACACAAATAAAAGAATGGATGAGCTTAGAGAGAGATGGAAACAAAAAATGCCCAAGATAGGAGAAAAATGGAATCCATGAAACAGATCCAAACAGAGATCTAGGAGTTAAAACCTCCATTGAAAGTATATGCAACAGACTGAATGAAAGGACAGAATTTTAGATCTTGAAAGCAGAATTGCAGCTAGTGACCATGAAAAGAAAGATACTTCAAACATAGCAAGCTACCATGAGAAATCAACCCAACAGCTACAAACAGCAAAAGAGAATAACACAAGATTGACTGAAATCAATGAGAAATATGCAGACATAGCAAACGCCATACCAAGCATAAATGTGTATGCTCCTAATGCAGGAGCACCCAACTAGATAAAACAGTTAATGGTTGACATGGAAAATCACAGTTGTAATGGGAGACCTCAATACCTCATTGTCACAGATAGGCAGATCAACTAGATAGAAAATCAACAAAGAAATATCAGAGCTGAACCAAACCTGTGAACAAATGAAGTTAGTAGGAAGAAGTCACTCCCCAAAGCCATGCACCAGGGGCCTAGAGAGATCTGGTGAACCCAGCATTAGCTGGAGAAGAAGCCATGGCCCGAGACTCCACTGCCATTAGGGGACCATAAGTGCTATATGTTTCATTGTATGTTTTGTCGTTTTCTTTGATTGGTTTTATTCTGTTTTGTTTTGTTTGATTTTATTATGTCTGATGTATGGGCAGCTGTTCTGAAGATAATAAGATGTATTATGGTAGCCATTGTTGATTCCTATTATCTTGTTTTGAAGCCCTGTATCACTTTCATTGTTTTGTTTTTATTGGCTTTATTCTGTTTTATTTTGTTTAGTTTGATTCTCTTCAAAATAAAAAAAAATTTAAATATTATGTTATGTGGAAATGTCACAGTTTAAGTACTTGTGGTATTATAGAACAATATACAAGTATATTATTACAACTACTATTGCAGGAATGGAAAGCGTGAGCTTATGAGTAGCAAGCTAGGAGGTACATGGTGACTTCTTTGCCTATCATCCAATCACTTGAACTCACCTACTACAGAGAAGACTATTTAGTATCAAAAAAGAAAGGCAAAGTAGAAAAGTACTTTGGATAGGTATCTCCCAAACCATAGTCTTGGTCCCCAGAGTGGCAAGGTAGGAGGCAAAAACTTATGGGAGCTGGGGTCCTACGGGAGGTGCACAGGGCACTGGAGTGGAGTTTTAAGAGCCTCTCCCCCTGCTCCATTTCTCCTCTTTCTCCTTCCTCACTGAAGATGTGACTACTTGTTCCAAGATGTGCTTTTATCATCATCCTCTGTCAGCCTCATCAAAGCCACAAACAGTGGGGCCCCTTAATCTTAGATTTAAAGCTTTAAACTTAGCCAAATGAAACTTTTCTCTAAGTAAGTTAATTATTTCAGATGTTACTTTATAGTAACGTGAAAGTGACTCATCCAGAAGGAGGAGAGGAGCAAGGGAAGAAGGAAGGAGGGAGAGAGGGACTAAAGAGGGAGAAAACCAAACAGACGCCTGACTTAGATGTTTGCCACAGTCTTTCAGAAATCCAGATGCACTCAGTTAACACTGCAATGGACCTCACTGTAAACCTCCAGCATTTCTCTGGTGACCCTCCTAAAAGACATTGCTACAGGATGAACCCACGGTCCATCTTGATTTTCCCTTGCCCATAGAAGTTCAGTTTTGATTGAGGCAGGAAAATGTCCAGTCTAGAAAAACGAAAGCAAGCCCACATTAGATCTTCTCCAAATTCTGGCTAATGACCTGGGGATAAGTCAGTACATTCTGGCAATTTTTTTTTCCTTTGGTGAAAAAAATATCAGAAACTCCATTTTACACTGGGATTCTTTTCTTTTGTCTTGAGTATAGTTTATAAAGGTATGATATTTTTGGAGAGATGAGGATCACCTTGTAACTATGCAGTGATGAGTTCTGCCAAGGACTCAGTACTTGGCAGAATACAGGGAAAGAAATAGGAGTTGTGGTCTCTGAGTCTGAAGAAACTACAATACAGCGTATTATGGCTTGTGTCTAGATGACCCCACAAAGCCTCATGCAGTTGTAGGTGGGGGCTCTTTCAAAGGTGGCTGAATCTAGAGTGCGTAATTCTAAGACTAAGGGGATATGATTACTAAATTAGCTCACTGATTGGTTTGGCACCACCCTAAGCCCAGTAACCTAGACAGAGTATAAAAGAGGCGAACAGAAGCTGCTAAGTCACTCGTTGGTTCCCCCTTGCTTGCTTGGTTTACTACCTTCTGCCCTCCGTGAACTGTTTTTCCTCTGTGGTGCCTGTCTGCCATGCCACCTTGACTGGAGCCAGTCAGTTATGGACTGAAACCTCTACAAATGTACAGGTAACCCAAAATAGACCTTTCCTCCTTTAACTTTGGGTGTTGGGTATTTTGTCTCAGTAGTAAGAGAAAAGTAACTTAGACACAGTGTCAAGAAATGCACGTGAATTAACTTGAGAACAACTGCAAAGCTTACAGTATAATGCTGTGATTCAGTACCAAATAATCTGAACAGGATTCACTGCTGGCACCTCTGTTCTGCCAGTGCTTCTTGCCAATCCAGCTAAACTAGAGAAATTTTAAGAAAAGATTGACATTTAAAGAGATTCTAGTCTCAAATTCTTACATATTGTAAGTGTATTGCTTCCTCTTTTAAACACCAATAATGACTTTCACTCAGACAAAAGCACAGTATTGAAGAAGATTGAACTGGACACTGGTAAGTCAATTATTAGTTGTAGGACATTGTAAATGTCACTTAACCTTTTAATTTTGGTTTTTTTCTTTTAAATTGGGGATAATGATTTGTTCAACAAATACTTAGTAAGCACTTATTAAGTGTTGGACAGTGCTTTAGGTAACAAATACATAGCCACAAACAAAAGAAACAGAGTTCCTGACCTCACAGAATGTGGACATATAGCAAATAAATATGTACAAAAAAACAAAAAGTGAGATAATCCTCCTGCCTCAGCCTCCTGAGGGCTCCGATTACAGATGTGTGCCAGCACACCCAGTTTTAAAATGTTGTTTTAAAAGTGGCCTGGTGTAGAAAAAATCCCATCTCAGCAACTGAAACCAGTAATGGTAAACTGATCTACAGCATGCTTTATGGGTTTGCTGATTTAAGGTTTTTTTAATGTTACCTGTTTTTTTTTTTTTTTTTTTTTTTTTTTTTTGTGTGTGTGTGTGTGTGCTAGGAGTGGAATCCAAAACAATTCACATGCTAGGCAGCCCTCCATCATCAAGCCAAACTCCCAGCTTTGGAATGTTTTTCCTCCAGAGCAGAGATGCAACCCACTAATCCTCTTAACCTACCTTCAAGAAATTGCTATCAATCAACTAGAACTGGTATCCTCCTGCCTCAGCCTCCTAAGTGCTGAAGATTACAGACATGCATCATCATGCCTGTTAGACAGATATATTCTGGAGTGGTTTAAAGCTCAGCTGTGCTTGTTACTGTCTTCTTTCAAGCAAGATGTCTAAACCACCAAAGCTTGTTTTTACAACTAAGTGAGGCATAATACCCACGTCAATGGGTGGCTGTGAGAGTTAGCTGCATAGGAGGCATTTTGCACAGTCCCTACCAATAAATACTTGACTAGTGACAGTTCTCTTTACTGTGTCATTTTGCACCATCTACAGCTGCTAACCTTACTACACATTCATTCAATGAGCTGGAGCCGCTGAGAGGGCCGAGTTTCTGAGCCATCCATGCCCACTGGCAAAGTGAGGGTGCAGGGGAAGGCCAGGGACGTCGTCAGTAATCCCAGCTCCAGATCCCTAGGCCAGCGTGCATCCTGCAGCACAGGCCGAGCTCTGGTGGTCTCCGGGCTTTGAGCCCCTCACTGCACGTGGCCTGAGTGGAAACCTCCTGCTCCTGGTGTCTCCACTCAGCCGGGGAGCCTGGGACCTGCGGGAAGCAGCGGAGGCCGGAATTCCTGCCTAGTCGCTCTGGGCCCAGCCCGCGTCCTCCTCGACCCTCCTTAACTTTCCCTCAGAGCGGTCTCCTCGCAGCCAAAGCTCCCCCTGCAGCTGCCCGGCCTGCAGTAGCGCTTGGCAGCCCTGCCCGCAGCCCCGTCCCCCGGGACCCGGCGACTGGGGCGGAGTCGGGGGCGGAGCCCCGAGGCTGCAGCCCCTCTCGGGCGCCCGGCACTGAGCCTGCCGAGGGTCGCCCCGAGGCCTGCGGGAGGGGGGCGCACGGCTCCCCACGGCCCGGCCGCCGGCGGCTGCAGCACGGTGGGGGCGGCCGGCCCCGGTCCCCGCCCCGCTCCGCGCGCCTCCCGGCTCTGGGCTGAGCTGTTTCGCTCCCGATCGCGCCGCGCTGACTCCGGGACCGGGTGAGCAGCGCCGGAGCTCGCCGCCAGCGGGAGTCGTCCGCGGGGCGCCCAGAGCCCGCGCCCGGGGTGTGCGACGGGACCGCGGGTCACCGCAGGTAGGCGAACCCTTCCGCCCGGGCCGGACCGGGCCGGACCGAGCCTCGCTGCCGGCGTCCGGCCCCGCGGGACAGGGGTTCGGGCCCCTTCCCCTCCTGCTCTGGGATCCTACGCCTGTTGCTCTGCTCCCCACCCGGTCCTGTACTGCAGGAGAGGCTGCCCGCTTGCAGGTGCTGAATTTCTCTGCAAGGTCATCACTGCCTTAAACCCTCCCTGCCTCAGAAGGTAAATGGGGAAGACGCGTGCTGTTTGGGAGTCAGGTCTGCACACCGTGAGTGTCCCGAGAGGGGCGTGTGGTGTGTGTGTGTGTGTGTGTGTGTGTGTGTGTGTGTGGCATTCTCGTTTTCCTCTGCTTGTTCCCTTAGAATCAAAACACAATCGTTTAAAATATATATGCATTTACATGTGTGTATGTATATGTGCATATAGTTTTTGTTGAGGTAGGAGAGAAGAGACAGGGCGGGCCCCGGTCGATAAAGGGAAATCACTGTACAGACCTGCTCAGTATCTAGAGGTGAACTTTGGAACCACATTCAATCAAGGTAGAGAGGAGCGGTGACAAACAGCTCTGTAGTGAGGGGTTTTAGGAAAGCGCGGAGTGGGATCGGCGACCAATACCCAGGACAGACCGTCGTGCTGTCAGGAAGATGGAAAAGATGTAAGCAAAATTTCAGACGCAACAATGGACAGTGCAAGAGGGGAGGAGGAGGGCGCCTTGACAGACCCTGGAAAGTGAATTGGGAGTGCCAGGAAAACAATGCAGGTCAGCTTCAAGGGCTTTGTGGAGCGGTATTGGAGAAATCTGTGCTTGGAATGTAGGCAGTTCAAGGTTAAAATGCAGTGAAAGTCCGGAAAGCAGCAGAGGAGGTGGAAAAGGCAAGGGCTTGGAGGAGGACGGGGAAGCTGAGCTCTGAGTAGCCACCCATGTAGCAGTCCCTTCTTCCTCTAGGAAAACCTGTGTTTCCATAGGCTCCAGAAAATTTTTTCACAGCACGTTTGTTAAAGATCCGTCAGTCCATGTTTTCACTTTATTTTTGTAAAAAATCTGGGTCATGGTGGGACTGGAAGACGCTGAAGTGTTTACAGCACCAGAAAGATTTGGAGAGAGAGTTGAATCAGGCTTAGCTTCATGAAATATTTACACATCTCTTGCGTGGGCTTTTGTTTGCTCTTGTTGGTACTGCTGCATATTTTACTTTGATAATGCTTTGAATGCCCTTCTCCCGAATGTGCTTATTTTCCAGTTATAAACTATTCTTTCTTTTCCATTGTGCTCACCATTGACCTGCCCTGAGTAGCAATTGTGGAAATAAAGATATATGAGTCACAGTACAAAAAGAAAATCTTCTCAATTTACTATCCCCAAATGACCAGAGTTTGCATTAGAGAATGTTCTTTGGAGGTAGAATTGTGAAGAACATATTTTCCAAGTTTGAGTATGTTTCTGTTTTCAGAACCAGAAAAAAAAAAAAAAACCCTAGGAATTGCTGTCACAAGTCTAGATGTTATATTGTTGAAATGTATTTTGGAAACAGAGCCCAGACAGTCATGGAGAAAAATGTACAGTGTGCTGTGGTGTGGAGAGGCTCCAGCTAATCACTAACCACACTGTTGTGGAAATGGTTAGGTCCACATCACCAGGGCATCAGCTGCACAGAGAGCAGGAGGAGAGCATTATATGAATCAGATCGGTCCTCATGCAGAGGAGGGGAGATTTCAGCCAGCTATTTTGAAATTTGGGTGTTTTAATTGCCTCAAAAGACTGGTTCAGTATGTTTAATTGTTTGCTCCTGCAATATTTTCTTGATTATGCTTCTAGTATACTTGAAGGAATGTATTTAGCTAGCTGCAGCTAGCCCTCGCTGCTTGAATTTCCAGTCACAAAATCTGCAGCCTAAAGGGATGCACTAAGATGCTGGTGGTAGAATCACAAAATCCAAAATTACTGACCACAGACAGATTTTAGTCCCGGCTTCCACTTGATCTTGTGCAGCGGCAGGTGCTTCTGCCCTCATTCATCCAGCCATTTGTTCACTCATCCATTCTTCTAGAACTAGAGAAGGTGCTTGAATGTGTAATAGAAGAATACATGAGACTCAGTCTCAGCCCACAAAACTAGAAGGGGAGGCTGAGGGTGACAGCTAGTTAAGTCCCACGGCCAGGTGCTGCAGAACCCTGGCTGTGGAGGTGGGGAAACAAGGTGAGCTTCCATAGGCCTGAGGATGCAAGAGACTCACCTGCTGAAGAGGAAAAGGAAGGATAAAAACCTGCAGAGCTTGGACCCAGAGTCCATACATAACGGGGGAAGAATGAGGCCACAGACAGAAGCACGGTCCACCCCTAGCTAAAATCCAGAAGGGCTGCCACCTCCTCTAGTGGCCATTTCCTCTTTCACCTGGAGGTGTTAGGTGAACAGGCTCCTATTGAGGCTCTTCATGGCTCCAGTTACCCAAATTTATATCCTCCACATATCTACAAACCACATTTACCTTCATTTACAACTACATGCTTAGAGAAAGGAGAGTCCTTGAGAAAATCAGAATCCTCTGTGCCCCAATTACTTCACCCGTGAAATGTCTATCACATTCTCTGCATACCCTAGAAGTCAAAGACAGAGTGAGGTGATGGAGTTTGAGTCTTACAGAAATGAGTTTTAGAGATATAGGGAATCTTATTTCTAAGGTAACAGTGCACATCGAAAATAGATGGAAAAGAGTGTCTTATCTGTCTAGCACTTAACGGTCCCAGATGACTACAAAAGACAAAGGCATGATGGTGTGAAATCAAATGAACAATAAACTCAGGACATGGGCTGAAAAGAACCCAAAGACCACGTATACTTGTCAAGTAATTTTTAGTGGGAGAAATAGTTGTAGCAATAAGTGGCCTTTTAGAACTGTATTTTCAAGCCACAGGTCCTGGTGCATAGTGAATCTAATTGGCATTTTTATTTTTGAGAAACACGATAGAGTAAGACAGTGTAGAAGGGTAAGCATTGCTGATGGAACCTTTAAATTATACACTTGTATATAGCTTCATCATGGACTATGACATAAAGTATGTAGCCAGCTAAAGGCACCATGTTGCAAAAAGCTCAGAAACTACTGCTTTCAGTGACACAGTAAAGAGAAGCTGCCAGTTTGCGGGAAGCTAACAGGCAGCTGAGAGATCGCAGACATAGCTGGATCGCTTCAGTGACATGGGCAAGGCTTGGACCTACAAAGTGCGTGGCAGTAAAGTCAGAGGGCCCTGAATTTCACATAAATCATATTGTGTATACTTTAGGTACATAACATAATGTTCATTTATGTAAACATACACATAAATATGTGTATGATTTACACATATTACAGTACAGTTACTGTAGTTAAACAAACACGTTAAGCATCTCACAGTTAACCCGCTTCTCAACCCCCAGCCTTCATCCTCGCCGAGCAGAGCTGTTATCTACTCAGCAAAAAACTGAATACAATATATTGACATTAGCTATAGTCCACCTGTCATACATAGGTCTTTAGTTTTGCACATCCACACATCTGCTACTTTATATCCTTTGTCATGTATCCCCCCACGCTGTCTTCCCCCTAACTGCCATTATAGTCTCTATCTCAGTATCTGTAAGCCTATTTTTTAAAACAGTTGTTATTTAATATCTAAGATTTTCTAATACTGCTACTTTTAAAAAAATCTCACCAGAATGATCATAACATCTTACATCTGTCATTTCCTGACAGCTTTTTGTTGTTTCTTTTGCACTCATTCAGTGGTTTGGCCTTGATTCATCAAACGGTTTGAGTTTGATGATTGAATTGTTGATATTACAGAATATACCACATTGTAGCATGAGTATTTCATTTCTCAGAACAGAACTGCAATTGCTGGCACAGGGGGCTGGGGCAGTTAGACAAAGCTCCAAGGTCAGACAGCCCTTCTGTTCTTTTCCACCAGTCTCACCTGCGCATCCTTGGAGAGGTGCAGAATCTCAGCCCAGTGAAGGTGAGTCAGGTCACTAGGCAGCCATGAGCCCAGAAGGAAGGGTAGGGTCCACCGTATTTGTTTTCGTTCAGTTGTTCTCTGACTTGTGCATCATCTGAGATGTTTATTCTCATCAGTGTAGAATTCCAGGAATTAACACCTTTGTCTTTTGCTATAGGTAGCCCATTAGTTCTTTTGGAAAAATAAGTCAAAGAAAACAGTCTTTGTGCTGCTGAGAACTCTCTGGACTGTCTTCCAGCCCTTCCTATCTTTCCACTGGAAGGAAATTGTACTGTGACGTTGGTACCCTTCTGAATAAAGCTGTATCTTTAAATAAAGTATACCTTTGAGGAAAGCTATAACTTTAGTCAGAAAAACAGTGCCAGTTAAAATAGACTCATCTTGAATTAGTTGGTTTGGAATGCAGTCAAATATGAAAATCTGTTTTTTAAAAAAACAAAGATGTTACAGATGCTTCTCTCACCTTGCTTTTCAGCATAAGGGTGTTTAGATTAATGATAATCTAATTGTTGTATAAGAGCCAAATTTGGAATAATAAAAACATGTAAAAATGCATCTAAATTGAGAAGATATTTAGGGAATTTCATGAAGAGAATGTATGTATACTCTTAAAATTTAAATTACTTATTGCTTCAATACCAGTGAGAAAATTGTTCATAGCTTTTTAACTGGGCACATTGGAGTTGGCAGCTCAGTAACAGCTTTCTAACTTTTCATGCCTGTGATTAGGTTGTTGGCTTTATTTTGAAGCTAGCAGCATAATTTGGGGTCCAGATTACTAATTCCAGACAGTAATAACTGACCCTTGGCTGCAAGGTTAAATGCAGTGACCTCTTTAATCCAAATCTGAATTCAAACACAGGGCTTCGAAATCTGTATTTATGTAAGGTCCCCACAGGATTCTGATAGCCAGATTTGGACACCGTGTGTAGTCCATAACTTTATTTACCAGGAAATAAATGATTACAGATGAATTCCTGGGAAGTTAATAACCCATTCTTAGTGCTACAACAGACACTACTATCTAGAGCCCCTTTTGATAGCTCTTCACTGATTTTCCCATAAAGAGAGGAGAAGCAGGGCCTCAAAGAATATCAGAGTCCCCTTGGCGGGAGAGCAATGAGAACAAGATTAGTTAAGTACAAGTGCACCGTCCTCCAAAATTGACCATTCAAGTAGCAAGCCTTCCTAAATGACAGTGCAGGGACCTGCATCCCTGCCCCCAAGGCCTAATGTGACAGGGAAACTGTGGGGAACAGCTGAATGAACTGAAGCAAGATGGTTTCATGGACACACACACCAGATTCTGTTTAAAAACTTTGGTTCCCAGATCCTAAACAGAGTGAATACCCAAGCCACTGCTGAAAGAGTGGTTTAGTCAAGATTCACAGACTGAGACACTTTGAACCAAGGCAAGCCTCAAAATAAATCAAAAACAAAGACCTGGACAATAAAAACCCACAGAGTCCCAGCAGTCCCCAGGATGTCAGCACTGTTGTTAATTCAGCAGTGGACAGCTGCACAGAGGCCTCCCAGACTCCTTAAAAAAAAATCACATTTACATGTAGTAATTTTCTGGAAGGAAAAAAAAAAGTTGCGGAAAATTCTTTTTTAAGCTTGAATTGCAAATAGCACATTAAAGGGGGAGCTCTAGCTTATGGA